GTTTTTTTTTTTTTTTCGTATTTTTATTTTTCTTAATTTTTGCTTTTTTTGTTGTGAAAAATCAAGTTGTAGCTGGTGGTTTTGTGAATTTTGTCTCCCAAAAAGATGCTTATAAAAGTCGAAGAACTCATTTGCACGAAAAGTAGCAAAAACTAGTTTTTAATCTTTTAATTTTTATTTAAAGCCCACGCTTGGATATGTTTTCTATATATTTTTTTATAGTTTTTTCTGCTTGTATTATTATTATTTGTACATTTTAACAATTAAAATAAAAATATTGAATTTATCTATGTCTTTTTCATTTATTTTGGAACAGTCCGTTTTTAGGAAAATTTTTCCGATAAGCTAATATTTTTTTTTTTTAAATCTTACTTTTCATTGAAATTTGAAATTATTATTATTTTTTTTTTAAACACTGCAGAATAGGGTACAGCGAATTTTTTTTTTTTTCTAAAAGTTTAGGAAAAGGTGTACTTTTATGTAAAATCAAATTTTAAAGAGGGTTTCTAAAAAAAAAATTTTGATCGGAAAAAGTTTTGATACCCAAATTTGGACTTTTAGAAATAGCAAAAATTAGTAAAATCTAATTTGTCACATGTCCTTTATTGTATTTTATATTTTCATTTTCATTGCGATAAAATATTAAATGCAAATAATATTTTTAGATTATTGAAAGTTTTTTAGATTCTTTTTAAAATCATTATCTTGCATGGATCCTATCTGCAGTGCAGATTCTGCATTTTTTAGAGGGAGGAGGAGGGGGTATTCAATTTTTTATGAGGTTCTAATGATTAAAAAATTTGATCATAACAGTTCTTTATACTTTCACCAAAAAGAAGGTGGTTTATCCCCCTATTTTACCCCAATAATATTTTGATAGAACTGCTAAAACACTATTAAAAAACAAATAAAATAAAAATCTATTGAAGTTAAAAATTTAATAAAATTTCTTTCTTTGTTTTAAAAACAGGTAGCAACTCTCTATGCTGAGCTCTAGCTCTAATATAACCATCTCTTGCATATGGTCCAACTACTGACATGGATGCTACTGTCACTTGTTTTACAGCACGTTCAGTACTTTGAGTATGAATTTTAATCGAAGGAGTTATTAAAGGTATCAATCTAAGTAATAACAACTTATCTCTGGTGAGCGAACAAGTAAAAACAGGTTCTTCAACAACACCATTTTCCCATTTAACTAGCTCTTGAAGAGTAGTTGCTGCAAAGTTAAGTTTAGGTGTTTTCTCCAAAAAAATCTCCAAGGATATCATTACCCCTTAGTTTCAAAATTTGATCAACTGCAAAATTGCGATCTTCTGCATTGATACTAGATAATAAAGAGATTAGTATACTTTCGTGGTTCGCATACCAAGCCCCTAACTGGATGTTGGGAAACACAATTTCTTTTACTCTATCAGGTTGCATTCTAAGAATTCTCAATTGAGACAGAATGTGATAAGAAGCATCTTCAAGTCTGTTTTTGACCTTTATGTCAAAAAAAAGTTTAAAGTAAAATTGTAAACAAAATACAACAAGTATTTCTAGATTTTGCGAATTTTGATCATTTAAGTTGTGTTTCCTTGTCCACATAAAGACTATTCTCATGCCAGTAGTGAGCCATCTGGCATGACTCAAGGGGCCACATTGAATTTCTCTAAGATTAGGTGGCAATAAACCAATCTTAACTGCTTTACATAGCTTGTAACATTGTTTCTGATCTGTTGACTTTTTAATATTGTTTCTGGAATGTCGACAAAGCTCTCTCCATTTGGAAGAGCTTTAAATTGAGGATTATACTCCATTTTATTAACATCAGGAAGAAATTTTCCCACAGGACCTACAAATCCAGTACTACATGATGTTGGTCCATCAATGCCTTCTATAAGGTGACGCAAAAATAATTCATTCGAATGAAGCATGCATATAGCCCAGTGGCACTTGTGACCTAACAGCTTTTCAAGATGCGTTATAGCACCACCTTTCCAGTCTGTGTTAATTGAAGTACTGTCAGCTCCAAGTACTAAACATGATTCAGTAAGATTATATTGTTGCAGCAAATTATAAACACCTTCAGCAATCTTTTTAGCTGGCTTATCTAGATGATTAGGTGCATTTGGGGTAAAATGGCCAAGATATCGACCACCAGGTTCTATAGTCACAGTAATGTGCTGCTCTTTGATAATAATAGGATGTAGCTTTCCATTTGAATCATTTATCATTGCTCTTGTTGAATCTTTCCTTCCGTCAAAGTAAATGGCAATATTATCTGCTTTCGGAAGTTTTAAATTATCATTTTTCTTCGCAACTACCATCACCTTTTTTCTCTCTCTCGTCAACTTAGAAGGATCACAAGCAAGGTAAGAGGACTCAGGGGTGAGAAATCCTGCTTCAATTAAATCTTGAAGATAACTTGTAGCAATTGCTGCAGTTGCGGCAGGTGAAATCCCAAACCTATAAAATAAGAATGGTTTATATTTATTTCTATTAACTCATGTTGCAGCTCAACAAAACAAAAGTCAATATAAATACCTTATACTAGCCATAGCTGTGTTTTTTATTGACATTGTGTTATATCTTGACTTCTTTTCTAAAAACCGTGTTACAAGGAAAGCATAGACACCTAACTTTTCCTTTAGCAGCCTTTTAACGAAAATCTTAATTTCATTGTCTTGTTTTAAAGTTAAGTTAACATTATCTAGATTATAGTTTACATCGAGAAAGCCAGGAAAAATATTTTTTTGATGTTCTTTATCTAATTCTATATCTTCTTCTTCTGCGACCTAAAATCAAATTAAAACCAAAATACATATATATATATATATATATATATATATATATATATATATATATATATATATATATATATATATATATATATATATATATATATATATATATATATATACATATATATATATATATATATATATATATATATATATATATATATATATATATATATATATATATATATATATATATATATATATATATATATATATATATTATTGTTATTATTATTACTATACGAAAAAAGAAAATATTTATTATTAAGCAATTATTTTTACCTCGAAGAATGCTTGTTCCTCCTCTATTTTTTTAATTCTTTTCTTGTAAGCTTCTTCATCGCTGACTTTTCTCTTATACTTTTTTCTTAGTTTCATTGTCTCAATCTTATCAGCATGTCCCATCTGCATGTCAGACTTTTCACCTGTCTTATTTCTTTGACTGTATAACCACCTGAGCTCGATAGTTGGAATTTTTTTAGAATAAATACAGGTGCAATTTATATGTGCTTTACTTTTACAATTTTTGGGGGAAGAACACCCAGACAGATCATGCTCGCATAGAAGTATTGTGTGAGGACATGTTATGAGGTCCATTAGTTTATCTAACTTCAATATTAGCTCTTCTTTTACTTTTACCTTAGTTCTTCCCCATGCAACGTTTTCTACTTTCTCCCAAAGTGTTTTTATTCTATAATAAAGCGATTTCTCCCCAATAATAACTGGTTGTTGAAATAAAATACTTGCTTTTTTCCATTGAGCAAGAACAAGTGGAATTAGATCGCTAGCAAGATCTTTGTTAGAATATTTATTTTGGTGTAAATTGCATGTTATACTTTTTTGTTCTTTTAATAAAATTCCTTTTTGAATAACTGCTCTGTTTGTAGGCAGCTCACTAGGAATAAAATCTTTTCCAGGTCCAACAAACTCAGAAATTCTAGTGGTGGATGAATATCTAGTTTTAACTTTCGACATTTATGAATAAATTGATAATATAACAAATAAAATATTTACAGACTACGATCTTGTTTAGATGTTTTTTACGGTGGAGAGCTAAGAATTTCTTTAAAAATTGATTTGGCACTGCGCTTATTATGAGAAACTAAACATAAAACCGGATTAAATTTACTTTATAATAATTAAAGTATATTTCATTTTAATAATGTCTAAATATGAAAATTTGGGTATCAAAACGTTTTCTAATCAAAAAGTTGTCCATAGCAAACCTACCTTAAAATTTAATTTTACATAAGAATACACCTTTTCCTAAGCTTTAGTTTTATTTTTTTCAAAAACATATGAAATTCACTGTACCCTACTGCAGAATCGCTATAACAAGCAACTATATTCCAGTAAATAAACTCATACAAATTCTCAATATTAAAAATGTTATTTAGCTTTTCGTAACAAGTGTCCGGTTTGCGGTACTTTTACTCTAATTAATAAATATATACTTTTATTTATAAATTATATATATTTTTTTATTTTTTTTAGGTTACTAAAGTTTAATTTTTTAATGTTTTACTTAATGAAACATTCTGTTTTGTAAGTGATGCATTGATTCTTGACAGGCTGTTATTTTTATAGAAACTAAAGACGATCTTATTTTAAATATTAGTTTTTATTGTTTATTTTTATTGGTTTTAAATAATTTTATGTTAGAAATTCAATCGTGTTTTATATGAATCTAATTAATTCAGGTTTGATTTTATCAAATTAAATTTACTTTTGAAGTAAAAACCGATAAACAAATACAACCTTCGTAATCAAAAAAGTTTACAAGAACCTTTCTGCTAAACTAAATTTGAACAACTAATTATTTCTTATGGTGATCCTTATTTATGGACTAAATATTTTTGCCAAATTTTGATTTGTCATTGAAATGGACTTTAACTTCGTTCAAACGAAAATTAAAAGAAGTTATCTTTTTAGCAGAAAACATTTTTTCTTGTTTTTAGTTCTTTTATTTCATATATTTCATACAATTTATCCAGTATATTTATATTTTAAATACACAGTTATATATAGTTTATGTTGATTTAATTTTATTGGTTAATTTGATTTTATTGTTATTATTATTATATTTGATATTGTAAAGAGCTTCATGACAATTGCCAATTATATTTGTAATTTGTAAGCTATTCTTTAATTGTAATTTCTTTTATTAAAGGCAAATAAATTTACAAAAAAAAATAAAAAAATAAAAAAATTTACAAAATGTGCACTCTTCAAGGGTATAACCAAACCCGGATAATACAACATTAACAAAATTGAATGAAGCATCTATTAAAATCATATTATCATTCACATACCAATAACCTAAATTTAAAATTAAAAAAAATAATCTATTTTTTTATAACACTATAATAAAAAAGGAGATAATAAAAAATGAATTTATGTTTGATATTTTAAAATCACTTTATTACTTTATTACTTTATACAAAATCACATTATTACTTTACACAAAATCACTTTATTACTCCATAACTTTTTAAACTAAAACATTTTAAATATTAAAAAATATTTTGATTTTGTTTTAAAGTCTTTATTTATAATTGATACTCCTTATAGATTAACAATAATAAAATTAAGTATACATTAATAATAATAACATAGACGAGAAATAACATAGATTAATACTTATTATATTTAGATGATTATATTGCTAAACTTAAATAAATTAAAAAAAAAAACTTTCTTATATATTTTTCTTAAACATCTTTCAATTATAGTATGTTTTCAATTCTTAATTGTTCTTTTTAAACATTTTTAAATTATATTTAGTATTACTTAGCATTAGTATTAAAATAGCATTGTATAATAATAACAACATATAATTTTTGTTATATTTTGCTTACTATATCGCTTACTTAAGTTAACCAAGTTTAAAAAGATATTTTCCGAGTTATTACAAGCGGACATTATTCAGACATTTTGAAAATAGGACATTATTCAGCGGACATTCTTCAGGCATTTTGAAAAAAATAAAAGTTTATTAAAAATTGTGCATAAATTTAACTTCAAGTTTTGTATAATTTAGTTTAACTGTATATATACACTATCGTCTATTATTATTCGAACGGTCGTACTTTTCGAAACAAGAAATCATAGTTTTACTTACTATTGGGAAAAACTGTAAGCAAAGTCTACCTGAATTATATACTATCTTCATATCTTTTAGGTTTAAAAAAAATTATATAAGTCGGATAAGATTAGCATATAATTTTCTTGCCTTTTAATAACCCTGTGCGACAGTAACACATTTTTGGCATTCTACTTAATAACTTATCCAATTTGTCGGGTTTTTTTGGCCACTATCTAATAAGTTTTGTTCACATCTCGTGCATCATTTAGCATTAGTTTTTTGACATTACTTTCGACTCCTCTCATAATAATCCGATAAAAGAGAGCTCTTCTGAATGGGTAGGCTAAATCATTTTATTTAATATTTGATCGTTCCCGAACTTATTCAAATAACTTAAGATTTTAGGTTCAAGTCGATTTCTTTTAAAGAAATGAATACCTTCTCATCAACCCATCTTTCCAACGGTGCAGCATAATCATTTAAATGAGCTAGGAAACTACTTTTGTAGACAATCAATCTTATTTTTTTGTAAATTTTTGATGAATGCTATATTTGTTAAATATCTTTGTTCGTCTTGAGTGTTCATAAAAATTGTTATCTTTTTATTATTATAACAATTATTTGGATGCTGTGATTTTTCCATCCGCCTCATTCTCATTCATCTTCTAAAAAATCTGAGTAATTCTCAAATAGAAATCGTGCCTTCAGATTAAAACTTGTAATGCTTAGTATACTTATTTATAGGAAAGAGAATTGTTTTAATATTGTTTTGACATTTATTTTTATATCTTTACATTCAGTTGATACAAATATTTATTATATTAGTTGTATGTTGTCTTATTGTGTTGTTATTTCAACCTCTATTGAGTTTAGCGTTACGGCTTTAAAATAAGAATTCCTCGTACGGTAATTAGTCATTTAGGAAACACTTTAGCAATCATTTTCCGTGCAATTCTTTAATAGATATTGCTTATTCTGTGATTACTAATCATTATTATAAACGATTGTTCAAAACTATTGTCTAGAGAGAATTATTTGCGTAACAATCGTTACACCTTCTTTTTTTTAAAAAACGCATCCTGTAGTCAATGTATGTTTGGTTTTCTCAAAGTTTTTACCAATTTTATTGTTTTTCAGCATTTTCGTTTGACTTGTAATACAGTGGGATAGGGGAAAACGGGGCAACATGGCGAACGTTTTGAAAGCCCTGAGTTATTATAAAACTATCAGTCGTAAAGCAATAATATTTTCTCAGTATGTTTATGTTATTAAAATCCTTCATTGTCCTCATGAATTTTCAGTTTGCAATTATAACAATTTGAAATAAATAATAAAATAAAAAGTTCATAATTTTGTCATTTGGTCACGTGACCGGGCAAGATGACTTATTTTTTTAACTCCCATTTCTTGCAATTTGTGTTTATTTTTTGTGACTAAAGTAACAAAAAATAAACACAAATTGCAAGAAACTACTTCTAAAGAAGTTAAACTTGAAGGATACCATCCATTATGAGAAACCGAAAGTAAGGAATTTTTTTTTAAGCGCAAAAATTAAACTTGTGCGTATAAAATTGCGTTAATAATGTTTCAAAAAGCCAATTGGCGTTTTGAAATACAAGATGCAAACACAGTTTTCATCCAATTTTAAGATTTTTTGTTGAGTTGTTATATGAAAACCCATCTTGCCCCATTCGCCATGTTGCCCCGATTTCCCCTACTAGTTATTTTTTTAAACTCCCATTTCTTTTTAAAATTTCAGAACTTTGAAGATGTTAATTGTGTGCCGTTTTCTCTCCATACTATCTGCAGTATGTCAAGTCTAGAACACATCATTTTTAGTTTCTTTATCACTGTTTGCGATTGAATGCTATGTAATCTTTCGATTTCCTAATTATGACTATATTTAGAATATAGTTAAATGTGTGCCTCTAGTAAGAAGTGTCGAGAAGAACTTTAATGAATTGGACAGTTTTTGTAAAATGTTCTTTTTAAGTTCATAAAGTTTATTTATTTATTTCCTTTGCCGTTTAATAAAATTTACAATAAAAAAGATTGTACACTTATAATAAATGGCCGGAGCAAAAAGACGACATATATTGTCTTATCGCCGAGCCACGTTTACATTGTCGCCTTCAGTTTATGTAACAAGTTAAAAATAAAAGTTAAAAATTTACAGGTTAAAGATTATATAGTAAAACACAATATATCACATTTAGTAAATTATATAATAAGATAAATATATTTTTTCCTTGAGGTATTTGTTTTTCTTTTTTATTAGAAGGCAATAACTAACAAATCAAGATGGAAATAAGTGAGTAATGATGACTTTTTTGAATTTAATTATTTTAGGTACTTATTTTAAAAAAATAGGTACTTATTTAAAAAAAATTTAAAAAGTCGAAGTAATTTTCTAATAGAAGTCGTTTAGATTCTCTTTTGAATCGTTTTAGTGGAAAGTTTAGAAGAGTTTTATTTTTAATAACATTTTTCAAAAAACTTTTTATATAAATGGTCCACGGTATTGAATTTGAAACAAACAGAGTTTTAAATTAGTTCTTAGAACAACAAAATTATCAGTTGATTACTTTGTGGGGAATTTATGAGTAATTTTGATGAAGTAAGAGTGAAATATATTAGGAAATAAACCATATTTTGATTTAAACATTAGAAGCATAACTTGGTATATGTTAAGTTTATAAACATTGATTGTATTAAGTTCCATTAAAAGAGATTCTCCATTAACAGTTCTGTTAACACCAAATATAATTCTACTTGCATAGTTTTGTTTGCTATAGATTTTTTTAAGCATCCATAATTAGTACATCCCCATGAAACATTTCAATAGGAAAGGTAACTATAAATAAATGAAAAAAATATAATTTTTAAAGACATAATATTAAGAAATGGTTTAACTTTATATAATATGTTAGTTGTTAAAAATACCGGAAATAGTTTGATACCTATTGGTGCTTGCACAAACACAAAAAAATCAGTTCCGCACATGCCTAATGGTAAAAGGAGCGATTCATTGGATCAGGGCACTTGTTCCTTTCATTAAAAACTACTTATTGAATGGGACAAAAAAACTATTGAATGGGAAAAATTTAAAAGATTGAAAAACGAAAAAAAGTCAGTATTAGGTTTTAAGTAAGTTAAGCAGTAAAGGTTGTTTCTACCACTGCGGATACTAAAAATGCAATACATTTTGAAAAAAATGAGTTTTCTAATTCTTTTACTTCTCTGAAGTCAGTTTTTCCTTTTTTGTTTTTTTGCGTTAGTTTTACCAGTTTCAATATTTTTTCTTTCATTTACTATCTTTTCTGGAGTTTTAGTTAATATAGTACCTTTACCCTTTTATATTTTAGAATTTTTTTCAGGAAGATGCTTCAGGATACGGATGAATGGTTTCCGGACTATTTACTTTGAATAATATTTTTTATTTTTTTTTTTTTTTTTTTGTGACTAACATATTTTTCGATAAAAAGTACTAAATACGTAACAACCAAAACATTGAACTAAATTTTTTTCTTTTTCTCTTATTAAGTATGATTAGCAAGTTTATATCCTACTAGAGGTGAGGATCTGTTAGAAAAATCTTTTCTGATATGCAACTATAAATTTTGGATAAAAAACTTCAACTTAACTTTAAATAATTTTAATAACTTCATTTTATTAACTTGAATAATAGCTTCGTATCATCTTTTAAAAATATGTGCTATGAAAGCTCATCTCTGATATATGGAAGGCAGCAAAGATTGTTTTTAACAATAAGAATGTTTTTTAAAACAAAATTGATGAATTTCTTTGCAGAACACGTTGCAGCAAAGATTGTTTGTAACAATAAGAATGTTTTTTTAAACAAAATTCATGAACTTATTTGTAGAACACGTTTGCTTAATATCAGTTTTAATTTGCCGAGTTAAAGAGAAACTATTTGAATGATGCTTTGTTATGTAGCGTTTGAATTTATGCTCAGACTTACATTTTATCATACACTGGTGGAAATGAATTTCGTTTAAGCGTTTTTACTCCCAATTTTAACGAGAAAAGAACTGAAATTACTGATAAACTTGAGTTTACAAAAAAATGTATCTGATTCTAGATCTAATATGAAATAATTGAAGCACTGTTTATCTGTTGAGTTTGCCATTTTTCAGATTTTTGTGCACTTATTGGTAGTCAGGGTACGATAAATAAATGATTTTCAACATAAATTCAAAGTTTTTACTTTTAT